CCGCCTCTGCCGCGCGGTTACCGCCTCTGCCGCTGCCGCGTCTGCCGCTGCTGCGGAGGCTCCGACCGGCGGTGCGGCAGAGCTGCTGCGCCGCCAAAGGGAAGCCGCATCGGTCTGCCGGGGAAGGCGGCTAATGGCTCCCGACGAGAGGAGAGGAGAGGAGAGGAGAGGAGGAGAGGAAGGGAAGGGAGGCTGGGGCTCGCGGGGCTGGGGGAGGGCGGAGAGGAGGAGGAGGAGGAGGGACGGAGCGGCGGAATCGCGGCGTGGACGGACGTCAAGGTGCGCGGAGCTCCGCAATGTGCAACGACAGCAGCAGCTGAAGCTGCGGGCTGGAGAGGCGCGTGCGAGGGAACGAGGGAAAGTGGGTGGATGACCAGCCGGGGGGGGGGGGGGGGGGTGAACAGGAGGGGAGTTTGACCGATTGATAATCGAAGCGAAGCGTCATGTTTATGTCTGGTAAAAGAAACGATTTAAAAATAACATTGATAAATTATTATTAAAGTTTTACACAGAGGGTGCGTTTTTTTATTGGATACAAGTTAAATAAACCTCAAAAGTTTACCCCAAAGATATTAACGTGTTAAGATCTGCTGAAACTTGAATTCTTATGATCTAAACTGTAGATAAAACTTGTTTATTGGACCTAAACTGGGAATATATCATCTTTGAATTTGAGCGGTGGACGTTCAGCTCATCCTCAGTCACAAACCGGCTCCTGGAAGTCCAGTTTGCAGTTTTCCTGCCGTTAACGCGGATAATTCCTCTTTTGTTGGAGTTTCACTAAAGTTTCTAACGGAATGTTCTTAACTGGGACGTTTGCGTCGTAATGAACAACAAAAAAACCCCGAACTGGTTCGGTTTGCAGACTGGATGAGAGCCAGAATTCATTAGGAGTATCGGCACAGCGAGCAGAACCAAAGTTCATGTGCTCTTATTCTCCAAACTCCATTCCATTCTCCAAAAGAATCGGTTTGTGTTTCCTGCCTGTTTCCTGCTTGTTTCCTTCCCATTTCCTGCTTGTTTTTCTTCCTGTATACTGCTAATTTCCTTCCCGTTTCTTGCCTATTTCCCACCTGTTTCTGGCCTATTTCCCACCTGTTTCCTGCTTTTTTCCAGCCTGTTTCCTTTCTTTTTTCAACTTTTTTTTGTACATAACTAACTCCCTGATGCGTACAAAGTGCTTAAAAGGACGTTTAATATTGTATATAAAACTGGAAATATTGCACATTTTAGGGTAAAAACGGTAAATACTGCACATTGTAGGATGACAAAAATGTAAATACTGCACATTCAATCAGTCCAAAAAGTCTCACGTGACCCCACTGTTCTCTGAGCTTCACTGGTTACCCCCAGTTACTTCTGGTTACCCCTGGTTACCACTGGCCGCCCGCATCAAACTCCGGTCCCTGATGCCTACAGAGTGCTTAAGGGGACGGCCCCGCCCAACTCCTCCCCAGACCTCTACTCCTCTTTCTGTGCTTCCCACTATCAAAACAGCTTTAAAGCCCTAAAACAGCTTTAAAAGCCCCCAAAACAGCTTTAAATCCCCATTGGACAGTTGTAAAAGCCCTCAAAAATAGCTTTAAAGCCCTCAAAACTGTTTTAAAGCCCCCCAAAAAACTCACGTCCGACTACAACTTTTGATTTATGACATCAGGCATTAATAAAGTATCCTGCCAGACTTCCGGTGTGTTATTCTCTTAACGCGTACGGCGACCTGATGGCGAGCAGCCCCCCCCCCATGACCCCTGACCCCTCCCTCTGACCCCCCCCCTGCCTCATGTTAGGCAGAAGGCTCCGGCTGAGCGGCAGACACATGGGACCAGAAAAGGGAGGCAGAGGATGGAGGAGGAGAGGCAGCAGCCGCCGTCCTGGCAACCGTTCCCGTAGCAACGCAGTCTGTCTAGAGAGGAAGGAGGCCAGAGCCGCTACAGGCTGAAGGTTAACTACCAGCATTCCCTCACACTCACAGACGTGGACACAGAGACACTCACACACACAAACAGACACACACAAACAGACACACACACACACACACACTCTGTCCAGAGGCTGGTGTCCACATCGAGCCCCGAAGCGGCCGGACAGCAGAGAAAACGCTTTTGGGGGTTTAAGCTCTGGAGCTCTTGGGCTCCTGATGATCATCAGCCACATTCTGCTGGTTAAGAGCCTTCAGAGCTCTGAGGGGACTTTCTGTGTTTGTCCTGTGTGAGGATGAAAGCTGCAGATAGATAGATAGATAGATAGATAGATAGATAGATAGATAGATAGA